CCCAGAGACCAGCCTGGATGTGCCATGTGTATTCAAGCCTAATAAAGCTTGCTATGTCAAGGAACTACCCATTTCTTGCCTACCATTTCTTGCTTGACTTTTAAATTGGGAGGATTTCAATTCTCTGGTAGCTCAACTCTGGTGCGCCAGGCTTAGCCCATCTTCTGGAGCTCTAATCTCCCCTACACCCCAGCATTTTACCACCCAGATGTCACTGAGTTTATCATGCCCTGGATCTGTATGGGCAGACTCATATTCAACCTTGTCATATGGGCTCTTGATATTATCTTGCTTGTCTCTGTAAAATACAGGTCACCTGGACCTTGACAGCACTTCTTTTGGGGCCTCAAAAGGAACTAAAATACCGCTCCTGCACTAGGAGATCTGGCAGATAACAGGTGGAGCTTTCTTGCTTCAACTCAGGAGCCTTTGTGATGTTTGTGTCATTCTCCTTTTTTCTTTCTGTGGGGCTATGCCCCTTAGATTTAAAGGGAAATAAAATCTTGGTCAAGTTTACCTCTCCCTGGGTTGAAGGCCCTATCATCAGGCACTTTTACCTGGGCACAGTCTTGAGCCAGCCTGGGTCTTGCCAGTCTCTCCTGCTGAGACTCCTATGGGCCTCTCCACGCACAGGCAGCTGGCTCGTCTCCCTCCAGAGCCTTTCCTCACTCCTTTAATAGAATGAAAAAGGAAAACCTTATAGTGGGCACATCCGCCTGTCCCACTACTGGTTTGTTCCCCAGCAAAGTTCCTGGCTCTGCCATTTTCTTTACCACAGGCTCACTGCTGGTGTCCCCAGCTTACTGAGGCTCCTCCAAGCCTCTCTGCCTCCAGGCAGCTGGTTCTACTCCCTCTGGAGCTGTACCTTCTTCCCCTCCTGGGTCTCACACTGCCACCTTCCACTACAGCACACTCCTGTTGTTTTTGTTTTCTTTCCTTTCATGCCATCTTTCAGGCTCTAGCTCAAGCTGGAAAAACCTTAGCAGCTCTGGTACAGTCTGATTTGGACTAAGCAACTGCTGGTGAACCACAGTTCCCCCAACATCATCTTCCTTCCTGGCATGGCCTGTTCTGGTGTGCCCAGTAAGTCTCCCCCTGCTGGAGAAGCAAGTGGGTTCTACCCCGCCCCCCCTTACTCACACCCTCCTCTTAAGTGGAACAGCTTTTTCATGGAATACCTAAATATTCACTGGCCAGACAGAGAAAGTAAACATAGCTCTTTAGCCATCTGAAACAGGGAAGCTTAGTTTTCAGCTCTTGTTCCAAGGAGTGTTTAAAATATTCTAAATTAAGTAGTTTATTTTGGGCTGATCTGGAATTCAGGTCTCCACTCTTTCAAGACAGTGCTATAACCATTAAGTGATTTAGCTTACCATGACTGACTCGGTGGGTGCATCTAAATATGCAATTAGCCTGTAGCAATAAACTCTGGCTCAATTCATGTTTACATGTGTGCCTGGGACCACAGCATGTTGAGCCAGTAGATAGACCAGGTGGGCATTTTTGGAAGTACTGAATCACAATGCAGTAACAACCCGTACTGCGCCATACATGCAGTGCACAGTTATTTTTAGCAGCTATTTCACCATAGTGATGTGCTGCAAGAGGAGAGAGTGGATCACTATGGCCAAGTAGCTTCTGGTCATGTGTAAACACCCGCCAATGCTATGTTGCCATAGTGCATTGCTATGGAGATGTAGTGTCATGGGTAGTCATGCCCAGTGAATACTAAAGTCACACAATGTAGAACACTTTCCGCAAGAAGGACTGAAACCCTTGTTCCCATCCCAAAGTACCCCATAACTTGGGGTACTTAGAACGTTAACTTAGGAGCTGGTAAATGTACATTTAAATCCTCTCAGGTTGAGGCAAGAATTAAAATTCTCTTCAGCATCCTGTGGAAGTGCTCTAAACACTGAACTATAGGATAAAAGGTGACTGCCTCCTCCACACTGTTTTTTGAAGGGGGTGATCCAGTGTGAAAGGAGGTGTGCTCTGAGACAGGCTACTATATAAGGTCCCAGAGCCTTAACCTTGTTAAACTGAAAGTAATTCTTTTAGACTTATGGCACCCCTTGTTAGACTCAAAACACCCCTTGGAAGATGCCAACTCTTAGCTTTCACTCATTTTTTGAGTACAGAAAAAATAAAGCAATTCTTTTGTTGCCAAAAAAAGACAAACCCACAAAAAAAAACCTCAGAAAGACCACATCAGGTCATAATATTTTTGATGCTATGCACAATAATATGACCATGCTAATATTGTGTGGCACCCAGCAGCACCCTTAAAAATATCTTACAGGATCCCAGGATAGTGCAGCATGCAGGTTGAAAAAAATCACTGCCCTAAAGACAAGATGGGGGAATACCATATTTATGGATCATGAAGGAAACCAGTTATGATCCAGGTTCCAAGCTACTTAGCTATGTCAAAACTGACAAAAAGTCCTCAAGGAATCCATTTCTAAGCACTTGGAGAAGAAAGTGCTTAGGAACAGTCCATGGATTCACCAAGGGCAAATTATGCCTGACTAACCCAATTGCCTTCTATCATGAGAAGACTGGCTCTGTGGATCCAGAGAGACCAGTGGATGTGATATACCTTGACTTTAGCAAGGCTTTTGATACAGTATCCCACAACATTCTCACAAGCAAGCTAAGGAAGTATAGGTTGGATAAGTGAACTGTAAGGTGGATAGAAAACTTGCTGTATTGGTTAGGCTCAAAGGGTGGTAATCAATGGAGTGCTCCAGGGGTCAGTTCTGGGGCTAGTTTTGTTCAGTGTCTTCATCAACAACTTGAAGATGGGATGGAGTGCGCCTTAGGCAAGTTTGCAGACGACACCATGCTGGTGGAGGGAGGAGTAAGTATACTTGGGGGTAGGGCTAGGATTCAGAGTAACCTAGACAAATTGGAGGATTGGACCACAAGGAATCTCATGAGGTTCAATAAGGACAAGTACAAAGTCCTGCACTTAGGATGCCAGTAGAGGCTGGGGACTGTTTGGCTGGGCAGCAGCTCTGCAGAAAGAGACCTGGGGGTTACAGTGGAGAATAAACTGAATATGATTGTAACAGGTCGCCCTCCCCAGCGCCATCTTCACTGTTAATTCCACCTTACTTGGGACACCCTTGGAGTCTTCTTTAAGATTCTTATGTCCTGCTCTGTACTCTCCTGCCATGTCTTGATGAGAATTATTATGCTGATGTTCTTGGAAGTGGGAGACTGCCTATTGTATTTCATATACTGGGACTTTTCGCCTCCACGGGCCTTGAACCTGGGGTTTCTCTAGCTAGGCCTCCCTGTCTAAACCCACCAAACAGAGTTTGACTCTGAGGCTCTAGCCTTTTTTGGTGTCTTGGGGCTCATGGCCCTCCTTTTCTGCTCTGATCTGGAGCCCGGCCTCCCTGCCCTAGAGGCCCAGCCACCAGCTCCACAGTTAGGCAGTTGCAAGTTTAAAGCTAGGGAACAGCCTCAAACTCCTTTGGTCTCAGTCCAGAAAAAGATAAAATAAAATTGCACCTCAGGTGCACTAGACCACCACAGCTTTTTAAGATCACACCTTCTGGCACCAGGGTCAGTGCACCATACTGGCACCAGGACCTACATACCCCAAAAATCTGCACCCTCACTGGCGCCAGAGCCTGAGCCCCAAAAGTCACACCCTCACTGATGCTAGGGTCTGAGCCCCTGAAAAACCATGCCCTCACTGGTGCCAGGGTCCCCACTCTGTAGCAGACCCCCAAAT